GACATTCTGCTGAGCCGTTAAACAGTTTTCTGTGCTGCAGGCTTTCTGAGGGCTTTACTTGTATGTGTTTTTGAATATCTGAGAATGAGTGATTGATAGGGTTTCCACACTCATTTATCTAGGAAACTTTGTTTAATGAAGACCTTGACATTTCTGGATCTGCTTACGTAATGATTGAAACAAATGGAGTTATTTTTAAAGGTGCATTTCTTGGCTGTATTGTAAAGATATGGTAGGACTCAACAGATATTTTTTAATTGACTAAGTTTTTAATTTGTTATTTCATTCAGTTTCTTAAGTGTGAGTAGATCTTGAAGCATTTTTATTTGTTTCACTGAATTTGATTATAGTAAGAGACCACTTAATCATTTATCCTGTATGTTTTGTAAATTATCATTATCATCACTATTGTACAGACGCAGAAACCTCGAAAGTTTGACTGTGAGCTTCCAGATATTTCATTAAAAGATTTACAGTTTCTGCAGTCACTTTGTCCTTCAGAAGTCCAGCCATTCCTCAGGTAAATGTCACTGGTATTTTTAGCTTTAGATGTCGCCATACAGTGTTTCATTATTCTGGAGTGTGGAAAGGAGCGCCACACGCCTCGCAGGGGCCAGAAGAGCAAACTGTTTTAGGGTAGACCGACACGCCTGTGCCTGCTTCAGGAAGTTTCTGGGGAATTTTAAAATGATCAGAAAAGAAGGAAGTTAATGTCTACGTGCACTCAATGTTTTTCTAGCAGTTACTCTGACTTTGCATACTGCGGAAGACTTCTAATATCATTTTAACAATTCTATCTTTGGCTTCTTGCACTGTTCCTGGTGTTGTTGATAGAAAGAGAATGATAGTGCAGGAGTTATTTTTGACATAGATTAAAATATTTGGTTGTGCATACGCATCTTTTTATTAAGAAATCAGAAATCTAATTTGATTGCATTTTGTTTCAGGGTCCCCTTACTTTGTGACTTTGAACCTCTGCACCAGCACGTACTTGCTCTACATGATTTGGTAAAAGCAGCACAAAGTTTGGATGAAATGTCACAGACCATTACAGACCTACTGAGTGAACAAAAGGCAAATTAAGTTCTTCCCAGTGGCTCACTTATTAGTGTAAACGTTTGTGTTGCCGCAGCTGTTAATGAACCTGTCACTCTCTCTCTCCTAGGCATCCGGGAGTCAGACATCCCCACAGTCGACTTCCTCACCAAGAGTCGAAGGTGCAACAGGAATTACAACTACTACCTCACCAAGAACTCCCCCTCCACTCACTGTGCAGGATCCCTTGTGTCCTGCAGTATGCCCCTTAGAAGAATTGTCTCCAGATAGCATTGATGCACAGACATTTGATTTTGAAACTATCCCCCATCCCAACATAGAGCAGACTGTTCACCAAGTTTCCTTAGACTTGGATTCATTAGCAGAAAGTCCGGAATCAGATTTTATGTCTGCTGTGAATGAGTTTGTAATAGAAGAAAACTTATCATCTCCTAATCCTATAAGTGATCCCCAGAGTCCAGAAATGATGGTGGAATCGCTTTACTCGTCAGTTATCAATGCAATAGACAGTAGACGGATGCAGGACACAAATCTGTGTGGTAAAGAGGACCCAGGAGGTCGTGTGTCTCTAAATGTCCAATTGGAAAAATGCAGGGTTGTTGCCCAAGACTCGCAGTTCACTATACAAACCATCAAGGAAGACCTTTGCCACTTCAGAACCTTTGTACAGAAAGAGCAGTGTGACTTCTCAAACTCTTTAAAGTGTGCAGCAGTAGAAATAAGAAACATTATTGAAAAGATAAAATATTCTGTAGAAATAACACTAAATGAAAAACATCAAAATGAACTACAGTCTTTAAAAACTGAATATGAAGGCAGACTTGATGCACTAGTAAAAGAGAGTGACGAAAACAAAAACAGAATTAAAAAGCTTAAAGGAGACCTCGTGTGCCTTGAGGAGGTTCTGCAAAATAAAGATAATGAATTTGCTTTGGTTAAACATGAAAAAGAAGCGATCATCTGCCTGCAGAATGAAAAGGACCAGAAGTTGTTAGAGATGGAAAACGTCATGCACACTCAGAATTGTGAAATTAAGGAACTGAAAGAGTCACGAGAGAGAGTGTTGAAAGACTTTAAGAAGCTCCATGTTGAAAATGATGAAAAGATCCAGTTGTTGAGGACAGAGCTTGAGAGCTTGGAGCAAAGCCACCTAAAGGAGCTAGAGGACACTCTGCAAGTCAAGCACACCCAGGAGTTCGAGAGAGTTATGACAGACCACAGAGATTCTTTGGAGAAATTAAAAAACGAAAATCAGCAAAGGATCGACCAGATACAGGAGTCTCATGCCACAGTCATCCAGGAAAAAGAACGGCAGCTGCAGGAGCTGAAACGGAAGGTTTCTGATTTGTCAGACATGCGGTGCAAGCTAGAGGTGGAACTTGCTTTGAAGGAGGCAGAAACGGACGAAATAAAAATTTTGCTGGAAGAAAGCAAAGCCCAGCAGAATGAGACCTTAAAATCTCTCCTTGAACAAGAGACGGAAAATTTGAGAGCAGAGATAAGTAAACTGAACCAGAAGATTGAGGATAATAGTGAAAACCATCAGGTGGGCTTGGCAGAGCTGAGAACTTTAATGACCATTGAAAAAGATCAGTGCATCTCAGAGTTAATTAGTAGGCACGAGGAGGAATCTAATGCGCTGAAGGCTGAACTGAGCCAGGTAACAGCCTTGCACCACCAAGCCTTTGAAGTAGAAAAACACCTGAAGGAAGAAATAGAGGAACTGCAGAGGAAATTGGACTCAGCATTGAGTGCCCTTGAAAAAGGAAAAGATGAAAAAGCCGCCCAGCAGGAAGAGAGGTACGAAGCCGCCATCCAGGAACTCGAGAAGGACAGGGAGAAGCTGCGCACGCACCAGGAGCAGGAGCGGCAGGAGCTGCTGCAGCAGCTGAGCTGCGAGAAAGCGGCGGCTATCGAGAGGGCCCTGCAGGGGTTTCGGCTGGAGAGAGACGCCGTGGAGAGGGAGTTGCTAGAAAAGGTGAAACATCTTGAGAGTCAAATAGCAAAAAGGTAAGAACTTCAGCCCGCAATCGTAAAATAAAAATATTGATGATTCAGATTTCAGCTTTGTGTGTGAGTCAGCACAGTGCCTTGGTTTACCTTAGGTAAAGGTAGCAATTAAGGTATATTTATGCAGGAAAAACTTTTAAAAATAGTTTATTGCAAACATTTTGAAAATAACATCTATTAATGGATTTTAGTAATAGATTAGGGTTTTGGATCTCTGGAGAAATGATTGTTTTGAAAATTTCAAATATTTACAGGAGCTTTTTCCTTTTTTAACTTAAAAATTTCCTTCTTTGATTTACTTGAAGTTTTTCCCCAGATTCTTCAATTGAAAATTACTTATTTTTACTCTTTTTAAACTGTGTGTGTATAAAAAGTCACAGCTTTCTCTGAGCAGTGTTTCGTAAAGGCTAAGTTCTGGATTGGGGCTGTATAGTTTCATCAACGTTATTTTCTTGATCTTACAATTTCAGTTATTTCTTTGGTGATTCAAAAGAATGTTTTTAAGTCCCAGGTTTTATACAGTTGTTTTTTTGCACTTTTATTATTGTTACTGACTGATCACTGCTTTTTATTAGAGAAAATGGCCTTCAGTTTTTCTATTCTTTAAAATTTATTGAGGTGTTTTGTGGCCTAATAAAAACTTTCTAGAACATTATCAATTAGTTCTATCATGAATTCTTCCAAGTGAATATATTTATAGTTATATATACATTATATATGTTAACCTCTCGCTTCTTGCCTTAACCACTTTTATACAGTCTCTTGGGGTTATCTCTCTGCTGTGTAATGTTCATATATTGGTGTACAGTTAAACCTCTTCTGTATTCTGGGGCAATTCAAGGGTTTAATATGAATTAGAACCTGCCTGAAATGTTTACAGAACTGGGGCAGGTAAGGTCAATGTAGTCACTACTGAGGGCCAGGAAAATTCTAAGTGAAATATGAGGAAAAGAGACACTAAGCACCCACCAAGCTCATGGTTTCCCCGGCTCCCTGGGCAGCTGCGACAACGTCCAAGCGCCTCTTCACGCCCGATGATGTGCCCACCCGCAGCACACAGCGGGTAGCGCTCATTTCCTTGGCAGGACGCTCCTGTGAGACTGCGTCTGGACACAGCCACCTCTGGAGAGTCAGCCTGGGCTGCTCTTCTCTGCACACCTGTACCTGTTCTTTTCACTGGCAAACTTGAAGTTATACAGAGGATTCTGGAAAATGTAGAGTCTGCATTTCATTGTAGATGAGATTCCAGAAAAGAGGCGAGAGCAATGGCAAGATGACAGGCAGTCTAGCGCTGCACACCCCCCGCTTTAAACTCAGTGGTCGCACACATCGCACCCACATTGGACCTCCAAATAAAGATGCTTACCACGTGATGTTTCTGTCTAGTGTGATTTAGCATATATGCCTCATCTCAGGCGTCCTAACCCTGTCTTCAAAAGGTGTGAGTCAAACATTTCATTCTGGCCGTCCCAGAGTGAACGTATTGGTGATCGATCATTTTTCCACACAGACCCGATCTCTTCCTGATATTCTGTAAGTTAAATGCCAAAACATAGGGTTGGCTACCATTATGACAACATGTTACATACTAGGAGAATGGAGAAGGGAAAGAGACAGAAATGATTAATTTTTGCAGTCTTGGTTGCTGTGGTCTTTATTTCTGTAATCAGCCTGGGAGCTCTAATAGGTATTTACAGCTCGCTTGTGTCACACAGCCCAGGTGGTCTCTGTCCGAGCTACTCGGCTTTGCTGTTGCAGCAGGAGAGGAGTGCGACACTATAAACAGGCGTGGCTGTGTTCCAATAAAACTTTAATTACACAAGCAGGTGATAACAGGCTGGATCTGGCCTGCGGTCTAGAGTATCTCAACTTGGCATCTTACTTTTGTTTAATGTTGGCCGTTAGGTCCAGGTTTCAGGAAGTCAACCTAGCAAACTCTTAATAGCTAACACTTGAACTAGAGTCTGGTCATTGCATTCGTACAAATGATTTTGGCTTGTAGCATTCTGTGTGCCCTTGTTCTAACTCCCGTTGGTTCTGTTTCCATACGTATTTCCTATGTTTCTTCCGAATAAATGAAACATCTTGGAATTGCAATTCCTCCTTTTTTTTTTTTAACTTCCCTTGGCACTGGGGTTTGAATGTAGCAGTGGGTCTGGGAGTAATGAAATGGTGGAGCGGTTGTTGAGAACCATGGCCTTGTTGAGAAGGGGACCTCAGGTAAGGTGACACTAATCTCAAGGGAGAAGAGGCTGCTGCTGGTTGGTAAGGGAGGCTTGGTGGGATTTGGAAGGACAACTGGGACGTCTCCAAGACCTTGCCTTTAGTCACCCGAGACCAGACAACGACCGCTGTTCGCTGTTCTACCTTGGAATGCCCTGGTGGTGAGGTCATTACTGCCTTCAGATGGAAACAGGTCACAGAGTTCCAGGTTCCCGTCTTCAGAGTTTATTTTCCCCTAGGATTCTATTTGTATCTATCAGGATTGAGTTTAGAAAACAGAACCTATTTTATTTACTTATTTTTTAATTCTTACCTAAGATACGTGCATTGATTTTAGAGAGAGAGGAACATCCATGTGAGAGAAGCACCAGTGGGTTGCCGCCTTCGCACCCAGTTCACTACTGTTAGGGTAGAGAGACCTGTAGCCTCTGCGGTTGGCTACTTGGGGCATTTGGTGTATGGGGGATTATATCTGCCATTTTGAAAAAAAAATTAATACTATATTTAACTTTCAAGTTCTGCCACTGAGTCTGCCAGAGAAGATTCTTTGAGCCTGGTTGCTGAACTTCAAGAAAAGCTTCAGGAAGAAAAAGCCAAGTTTTTAGAACAGCTTGAAGAGCAGGAGAAGAGGAAGCAGGAGGAGGTGCGGAGCGTGCGCACGGCCTTGATTGCCGAGCAGCAGGTGAGTCCTGCCCCTCAGTGTTTAAACATCTTCCTGATAAAAGCATTCTCTTTTTAAAGGCCATTGTGTCACACGGACGGGTGCTTCGAAAGGAAACAGTCCTAGATTAGAAATTGGGACGTAAATTATACTCCTAGTTTCTTAGCTACTTCTGTGATCTTAGATATGTCACTTAATCTTCTTAAAACTCAGATTAGTTTTCTTGCAAAATGAAAGTGTTTATACTTAGATGATAATCTCTAAAATTTTATTTTTCTAAATTACATGCTATACTGATCAGTACAATTTTTTTTACTTTTATCCCAGAAATCTGTTATAGTTGATATGCACATTTAATATGTGTAGTCCCCCCCAAAAATGGTAATTTTAAATTTTCTTTCTAGCCCGGCCGGGCGTGGCTTGGTGGTTAAGCGTCGACCTGGGATCCAGGCGATCAGGGTTCGATTCCTGGTCAGGGCACATGCCCGGGTTGTGGGCTTGATCAATGACTCTCTCATCATTGATGTTTCTGTCTCTCTCTCTCCCCCTCTCCTTTCCTCTCTATGAAATCAATAAAGATATATTAATAAAAATTAAAAAAATTTCTTTCTACAGTTTTTAAAAAATGTCTGTTGGGACAGATTTAAAGTGTATTCAAAAACCCTTAGGAATTTTACATTTTAAGGACTGGGAAAGGAAAGAAGAGCCTGAAATCAAGATTTCTCTCTCTTCCACTCTCTTTGAAAAGCAATGGAAAAAATATCCTTGGGTGAAGATTGAAAAATAAATAAAAATAGAAAAGGCAAACTGGGGGCGGGGGAGAAAGATTTCTTAAAAAAAAAACATCGTTGCCCTGGCTGATGGGCTCAGTGGTTAGAGCATCAGCCTGCGAACCAAAGGGTCACAGGTTCCATTCCCGGTCGAGGGCACGTACCTGGGTTGTGGGTTTGCTCCCACCCCAGGTTGGGGGCGTGCGGGAGGCAACCAGTCGACCTGTCTCTCGCATCGGTGTTTCTCTCCCACCCTCCTTCCAGTATCCTCATGTGATGATTAACAAAAATAAGTAAATGCTAAATGTCATTTATAAATTGCGCTTTATTTTCTTCACATACTAACGTACTGTGTGAAAGTGTTTGCAGGGTTATTTCTTTTAGCCCCAGCTTCTTGTGCATGCAGATAATTTACCTGCTTACCGTTCTGTGTTCCAGACCAATTTTAACACTGTTTTAACAAGAGAAAAGATGAGGAAAGAAAACATCATTAACGACCTCAGCGACAAGTTGAAAAGCACGATGCAGCAGCAAGAGCGAGATAAAGGTCAGTAACGTTTTGTAGCGACGCCCGTTCCTTTCCGAACCGGACGCCGTCTTCCATGGCCCTGACGCCGCTTTGGCCGTGCCCGCCCGCAGATCTGATCGAGTCGCTGTCCGAGGACCGCGCCCGCCTGCTGGAGGAGAAGCGGCGGCTGGAGGAGGAGGTGAGCAAGCTGCGCGGGAGCAGCTTCGCTCCGCCCCCGGGTGTGGCCGCGGCCCCCGAGCTTTATGGAGCATGTGCCCCTGAACTCCCAGGCGACGCCGAGAAGTCGGCCCTGGAGACCCCAGACGAAGGCAGAGTGGACTCGACCCTGGAGACGAGCATGATGTCCGTCCAGTGAGTGCCCCTCCGCAGCCGCTGGGCGCGTCGGGCGTTTCAGCAGTAGTGCTGGGCAGTGGGGGGGGGAGAGGTTTCTAAGGTGGTGCAGATGTTCAGTGGTGGGGGGTGTGGTTGGAGATCAAACGTGTAGCATGGGGACTGTAGGAGGTGACCCCAGATTGTACAGTTGAATTTGGCGATAGTAGATTTTCAGTGTCATCTCCCCTGCCTCCAAAATGGTAAGTGATGTGTGTGAATTAACTCGGAGGGACTCCACAGTGTGTGCACGTATCACATCATCACAGTGTAGACGTTAAATGTACAATTTATTTCTCAGTAATGCATCAATATAAAATAAAAGCCACCCTATTTCTATTTTTTCTTTTCTAATTAGTTTTTAACCATTTTTTTGTGGTGAGCAGATTCCCACACAGCCTGTTGACTGGCACACTGGGCACTCAGGAATGCCTGCGAAGTCTTCACTGAGACTTGGGTTATTTTGTAGTGAAACTCGGAGCTCCGCAGGCCCACGCGGGCAGGCGGCGTTGGTTGTTTTCAGTTTGGACAGTGAGGCCACCCGAGAACTGCCACTCTATCCATAATGTGGATTCATCCACACAGGACGAAGGAAGGTTCTTAATCCCTGAAAAACACATACAGAACAACTTGACATTTAAAAGGCATTATTCTAGAAAAAGGCATAAACAAATGCTCTGCTTGTAATTTCAAAAAGTTTATAGGTCTCATTTCAGGAGCTGTGGTACAAAGAACGCACTCCATTGAAATGCACCCTAACTTAAACAGTGCTTTCTGAAATTTAGCACAGTCCCTTACATTTTAAAGTGCTTATAGTAATAGTTAAATTTCTAAAATCCTTTTGAAGAGTGTAAAGTCCTGAACTTTAAGGCTTAAACTAAAATAATACATTCTCTCTTAGAGAAAATATCCACATGCTGTCTGAGGAGCAGCAGAGAATCATGCTGTTAGAACGGGTAAGTAAATTGTCATCTGGAAGTGCAGTGCTTACTGTGTTCACTCTGGGTGCAGTTAGATGAACCTCATGCTTAAGACATGGCTCTGCTTGTGTTTATAAGTTAGTTCTTTTAATGGTTATTTTTGCAGTTACTATTTTGAGAAGTGGCCAAACAATTGGCAGTATTATTTCAAGCCTCTTATTTGTCCTATATTTCCAAGAGATGAGGTCTGTGTTAGAACAGAGGTTAGTGGTCTTTATAAAGTAAATAATATACAATAATATTTTTAATCAGTAGCTCAGAATTCATCAAAACATTATAAGTACGAGTTCTGCATATTATAGAAACAAAGCATTAAATACCTGAATTGGGCAAACATAGATTATGTGAATGATGAAATAGTGTTGTGTTTTTTATAGAGATTAATTGAACATGAAAACACTGGCAGTAAGTGGTTTCCTCCCGATTGCATTACAGAGCACATCTCATTCCCTAGGGCTTTAAGATTTTCAGCAAATTTTTTTGTTCTTTACAAGCTTATTGTCTGTGGATCTAGTAAAAATAGTACAACTTTGTGCTCTAGCATGCTCTTTTCATTTTGTTTTTTTGTTATTAAAGGGTTGTATGATCACTTACATCAGCATCAACTGCAGATGTTGTATATGCTAATCCCTCCTCTTAGGCCAGAGCTACTAGCAGAGCTTTGGGGACCGATCCCAGCCATTTACTGCATACTTAAAAGTGATGTGATTCTACTGCATAGTCAACTGTAGAGCCCTGGGCTTGGGTAAATGTACTAAAGTTGATCTAATTATCTTTTAAGCCGGTAAATAATTAAAACAGTGGGAAAGGATCTGTGAAGAAACATTTCCCACTAACTCAGTACTAGAACCGAGCAGCAATCTGCACTTAGAGAAGATGCTGTCGTCGTGTTCAGGCTGAGTAGGTACAAGGATAAACAGCAGGTCTCTCCCCCCCGCAGACGTTACAGTTGAAAGAAGAAGAGAACAAGCGGCTAAGCCAGAGACTGGTAAGTCCGTCGTGTTTCATCACAAAGAAGGTAAATTTGTCCAGTGAAAGTGATTGTTGAAGGAAAGGAAGTATATTCATGAACCACATAAATCTGGATGCTTAGAAGCTGGGCGGAGGCCGTGTGTGTAACAGTGAACGAAATGTTTGCAGCGAGGACCTGAAGAGCGCCCTGCTCTGATGGTATGAGCTTTATGAACTGTCGGTTTCTTTTCTAGATGTCTCAGAGCATGTCTTCGGTATCCTCCAGGCATTCCGAAAAGATAGCTATTAGAGAGTAAGTATTTTGTGTATATTTTGTGGTGGGTTTTTCTGTGAAAATTTTACTGAACTGAATAATGTTGAATTGTATTGTTAGAAAATTTTATTAAAAAGCACAGCTTTTCTAAATTATTATTTCTGGTGATGTTAGGAAATGTTTCCGATTAGAGCTTTAATTATTACTTATGTATAAATGTTCCCAAAGCTTTTTTGACACTACTGCCACCTCTTTTAAATTCCACCTGTCTCCTTAGTCTTTTTAAATTTTAGATTGGAGAGTCTTGACTTTTTAAGTTACAGTGTTTTCTCATTTGTTGCCCTGGCCGGTGTGATCCAGTGGTTAGTATTGACGTGCACGCCTAAGGGTCAGGGGTTTGATTCTGAGTTGTAGGTTGGAACCCTGGCGCCCGTTGGGGCCCTTCAGGAGGCAAACAATTGATGTGTCGTTGACCCCTCCCCAACTTGGGCGTGCCCCCCCGCCAAGATAAAAAATGGAAGAAATACACTTGGGTGATGATTAACCAAAAAAAAAATAGTTGTCTCACTTTTGTGTTGACTTTTTTCATTGATATGCTAAAAATTTATGTGTTAAATTGATGAAACAACAGACGATCTTCCTGGACCGAAGTCCCCCATGTCAGTGCTGCGTTGGGTGTGGGCTGCGGAAGGGGAGGGTCTCGGGTAATAAAGCTGCTCTAGCAGCTGGTGAATGCTGGTCAGTTTCCTCTGCCTGTCAGGACAGATACAAAATCAGCAAGCTAAATATTTGAAAATATTTTGTCTATAATAGGTTTGTTTACCAAATTTTTGGTTGTCAAATATTACTGACCTGTAAGTAATTATTAGAATTTTATTTTTTCTCAGTGATTTGAAAGGGTGGTATCTGACTTGACCTTCCAGCTATGTGTCAAATCACATCAGTTTATGGCGTCTCAAAGATAAGAGAGGTGAACTTTTTAAAAAAGAAAGGAAAAACTCCTGAGAGAGGCCCCACCTGCCTTTCTAAACGTATCTTCTGGTGTTTAGCCGAAGCAGTGCCTTATCTCGTTAGGGGGGCTGCTGGGGGCTGCAGGGTAAACATGATCGAGTAGAAGACTTTCCACCTACCAGCTTCCTCATGGTTTTGATGATCTGTTAGGTGTAGGGCTTACTAAATTAAATTATTTTGACACCAAGGAATCTGAGGACTTTTAAGGGCTCTTGATACTTGAACATTTCTAAATTCGTCATCTCCATTGTTTAAGCCTCATAACAGCGTGAACCTGCTCAGAGCAGGTTCAGTGGCCTTTTCTCTGGAGTTGCAGAGCCGTGTGCCTGGAGGCTGGAGGGATAGTGTACAGACTGCTTTAGCACTGGGCTGTAAATGTTTGCGCCCTTTAATTTGTGTTTCTCATGAAAGGTTAGGATGGTGCCCTCTTCATGCAACTAGATGAACTGTGAAGGGGGTTTTCCTCCCCTCATTTTTTTCCTTAAACAGTAGATAGCATTACAAATTTTATTTTAAAAAATGTTTGGTCTCTGACCATTGCTCGTGTCATTCTTTGAACATCTATGAATCGCCAGAAGTGCCATTAGGAGCCGGGTAAAGTATATGTATATATCCTGTAAATATGAAAATTAACATGGTGTTGATGATATTTCAATATGTAGTTGACCACTGCAGAACATATACTTAAGTTTTAGGGTAGGGCGACAGCGACTTCTCAGGCAGTGCAGTGACTCCTGCGTTCAGTTTCCAGGTGGGAGATCTGGTCCTAATCATCCTGGACGAGCGCCACGACAATTACGTGCTGTTCACTGTGAGTCCCACCTTGTATTTCCTGCATTCAGAGTCTTTGCCTGCCCTGGACCTCAAACCAGGTGAGGGTGGTAAGTGTCACGTCCATTATTAAAATAATAACCCGGAGTGGGGAGAGCATAGTAAAGGTTTTTCTTCCCTAAGTATATCAGAATTAAGTAACTAAAGGGAGCTCTGCTTAATCTGTTTGTTTATAAAATCTGCAGTATCCAGATTACTTTACTGGATTCTGTTGACAGTTCACAATCGACATAGTTAATGCAGTTGGGCCAAATATCTCATATCCTAGCAATAGCAGAATTAAATTGTCACAATTCTTAGGCAAATTCAACTGACTTAAGCTTACATGCTTATTTGTTTATAACATTACCTTTCTTTGGCAAATTATAAAATGTCTTTTCTGTCTTTATTATCATCCAGTGTTTCTACTTTATTTTTTTTATTAAATTTGTCAATACTTAAACATTTTTAAAAGGCAATGATAAGCTTTGTTAAAATATACTGGATTATTCTGTCTATTATCTCCCAGAGGGAAACCATATAATTAGGCTGAGGTGGGCACGTGAAGATGTAAATAGACCTTGCCTAACCCTCGTCAGCTGTTTACGTGCCCAGACTGTGTCCACACTGCCCTGCTGGGCACCGGGGCACTGATGTGAGACAGCTGCAGGTCCTGCCCTGAAGCACTGGCGCTGAAAGCGCTGCCCCTCAAGCAGCAGGGCTTTTCTTAGGATGTAGGAAATAACTCGTCTGCTTCCAGAGTGGAAAAGGTCACCTCTGTGAGCACCTCCAGCAGGTGGCCCTGTGGAGCTGAGTCGGAGTTTCTACATGTAGTTTATAATTTATGCTGGATTGTTTGCATTTCTTTTGACTTCGTTAGTTCTGTGATTTGGCTTACCACCTGTATTTAATGAGTAAATAAAACCAAGATTACTGGTTGGAAAGCAGGATGAATTCAGTGTTGTGCTGAACACTGTCCTGCATTTTCGTGGCTTCGGCCATTGCACGTATCTCGCGTTCTCCCGGTCTAGGAGTTGCGTAGGTCTCGACTCTGACAGGTACATTTTGTGATAATTATAACCGTACTTTTAAAAAGAAACTAATGACTCGATTTAATAGCTTCAGGTGTGTCTAGAAGACCCTGGGTGCTTGGAAAAGTAATGGAAAAGGAGTACTGTCAAGCCAAAAAGGTAAACACCGGCGTGCGCTGCAGACCTGGGGCACGCAGGGAACTCCCACGCTGCTTAGTAGACGCTCCCGGCAGTGCTGTCGTCCGTCTTTCTGCTCACTGGGGTTAGACCTTGAATTTAATGGGTGTGAGTTTGAACCAGCAGTTTCATGAGTATTTGTGTATTTTATCTGTAGGTAGTAGACGTAAATTACCAACAATTCACGGACCTCTATAGGAAAACCATAAGTTTCTGTTCTGTGACTGTTGGTATTAGCGTTTTCATGTACAAAAAAGAACACAGCCTGGCTGCTGATGCCACTAGAGGTAGAGTGGATGTTTTCTTATGTTCACACGCTACTCCCACTGAAGTAAAGTATTGATGGCTGGAAACGCGCCTGACCGAGATGAGCAGGAGCGGAGCCCTTGAGCCTTCGCCCCGACTCACTGTTGCCGTGGGCCCCTTTGCTCCAAAACACTGATAGAACTTAGACTGTGTAGTAGTGAGGTCTCTCGGTACTTTAAAAGTATGACTTACGGCTCAATTTGTGCTGTGTCCTTCCATCAACACTAGTGGCTCAATACATTTTCTCCTGGCGAGGGGTAGATCCTACATAGTTTGACAAAGACAGCCCCCCCAATACTCTAGCTTTGAGGAGTAGGCTATGATGGTCCCTGTGTGACTTGGTTTCTTTTTTCCTAGGCACAAAACAGATTTAAAGTTCCTTTGGGAACAAAGTTTTACAGAGTAAAAGCTGTGTCATGGAATAAGAAAGTATAACTTATGGAAGAAATCAGTACGTCCTGTGACATTTTCCTGACGTATCCTACAGTGTTCATTCATCACTCCACAAACTGCAAGCCATCTTTTTATACAAAAGTCACCGAGACCATGTGCTTCCTGGGCGTCCGTCACCTTTCTAACTGGCTACATACACTTTAGGAACAATAAACTCAGCAAGACCCTTGGCTGAATTAAAATGGTTTTGGTTTTGTTTTGTTTTTATCCAAATAACTAGAAATATGGACCAAACTAGTTCATTTCTCAAAGGGCATACCCTGTGCATTGTGGCTCATGATTAGCCATGTTAATTGCCTGTTACAGATACATTAGCTTGAACTTAGGTAGTAAATGTTAGTTGTTATTACCAGCATTTGTCCTTTTGTGAAATCAGCATCAAAAACTTGCACTCTTAATACATTCTTTATAAAATGTATAAATTCTTCAAAACTATTTAAAGAAAGGGGTGTTTACTGCATGCAGATAATCATAATTTTGAGTTTGCCTCTGTAGATTACTAAAGCAGATTGTTTCATTTATTTTTTTTAAATGCCCTTTGATGTTTCAAAACAAAAAGGAACTCGATTTGATGGATTGATTTTTAAGATCAGCCATAATTCGCAGTCTTTACAGGCACTTTCAGCAGACTGGTCACCTGGGTTCTCACGGGAAGAGCCTGCCGCTGACGCGGCGCTGCAGCCTTCCTGATGACTGTTCTGTCTGGAATAACCCATCGATGAAATTACAATTCATGGTTGTTTCAGAAAAACATATTCATTGTACAGTAACCATTTAGAGGTCATTTAAATAATAAAATACTGTATTGTAAAACATGTAGAATTTTAAACAATAAAGATTTGAACCTGTAAATGTGTGTGCCTTTTAAGGAGGGTACATTTTAATATATTTGAGTGAGTGCTGGGGTGTGGGAAAACTTGTTCTGTATTATATCAAAAGAAACATGTTAATTTCAGAAATGTTCTTTAATTATATTCTATGTAACAGGGTAAAACAGTGTTATGTAGATCAGAACCGTGTAACCTGGATCTTTTAGACAGATGCCGTGGAGCGAAGGTATTTAATGAGTTAGTTGAGTTGGATGCGACTTGTTTCAGGTTGTTGCTAGAAAACAAGAAAATGATTTCCCCCCCCAGAAAATATTTAATTTCTTCATAAAAATAAGTTAAATATTTTTTTAAATATGTATGTCTAACAGTACAGAAAATGGAAAAACGCCGTGGTGTGTAGAAAATGGAACCTGACATACTGATGAATAAATGAACACGTGACTTCACCTGTTTCTACGTGATCCTTTCGTGGCACCTTGGTGCAGGGAGCACCGCAGCCCTAGTTGCGTTCTGCGCAGAGCGGGTCTTTAAAGAGGTTTGGTTGGGGCTAAAGGCATCTGCCAGAGGGGCCGTTTCTACTTAAATTTGCTTCAGATTTAATCCACGGTCCTGGTGCTGTGGCTTCATAGTGGGCTGAGCACATCCCGTCCGTCGGCCCCTCATGTTGCCCTTGAGCTTCGTTGCTTGCTGCTTTTCTTAGACCCACCGTGTCCGTGTTCACATGCACACTTATAAAGCAGAAAGGAAATGCAGTTTTCTTTGTTAAAAAGAAAACAAGTGAAACCTGAAGATCAAAACTCGTAACTGTACCTTACCTTTGGGTGATGAAGGAAAATGGACCGAGAGTTTTGGCATCAGAGTGTTTGGGGAAGTTGCACAACCTCTACACCATTTTATACACGAGAAAACTGGGTTCAATGATAGGACCGACCTCAGGGTTAATTTGAAGATTATGTAATAAAAGTTAAAAATATAAAGCGCTTTGGACAATTTCAGGAAACAGAATTGGTGCTCAGTGAGCGGGAGCTGTTGTGAAGGTTTCTTTACAGTCGATTTCCCTGTTGAAGTTCGCCCGCCACGTGGCCGTGCCGGAATCACCAAGGTGCTTGTCCGTTCCTCTCGGGACACTCGGGGCGCGAAACACTGGACAGTCGGGCACCGCACAGCAAAGCTTCGGCCCGTGACAGGCATGCACAGCGGTGGTCTCGTGAGATTATCCGGGGCTGAGAGTCCCTGCTACCCGGGGACATCCTGGCCATGGGGACACAGCAGGCATTGCCCGTGATGGTGCTGCTCTGTCGCCTGAGAGTGTAACACGCAGCTGTGTACAGCACATGACACTTAATGATAAACGACCACGTTACTGGTTGACGCATTTACTGTACTTTTTATGGTTGATTTTTACTGAGTTTGTAGACAGTATATTAGTTACGTTAACCTCATGTGTGCGGTCTAGGGATTTGGCATTTTTATACCTGGCAGCGTGCTCACCTCACTAATCCTAGAAATCACCCGTCACTGCAGCTTACCGCAGTATTACCGATTCTGTTTTCCTTCCATCCCCACCTTCTCTCCGGTGTCCGCCCCTGTGGTTTCTGTCTGAGTGCGTTGTGTTCGTTCGTTGTTGAGCTTTCACGTGTGAGTGAGATCACGTGGGGTTTGTCTTACGGCTGCCCAATACTCCGCTGTGTGGGTGTGCTGCATCTTAGCTGTTGTTTAAGACTCGGCTCTTTCTACTTAGTAAAAAAGTCTATAAAACAGCAGCCGTGTTCTGCCAGCGCAGCCGCATCTCGCGATCCTAGTCTCCCGACTGCGCGTGTCCTCCGCTTGACTAATCGCACGTCCTGCAGGCTCGGTGCAGCCTAAGGCTCGTGGCGCCCCTGGTCGTGCGCGGGAGCGTCCTCGTCTCCGTGTCCACTCGCCCTTTGAAAGGACTCGTATTAGGAGGGACCCGGGCTCCTCGGTCCCGTCTACCTTCCCAGAGACGGGGGGCTGTGTCCTGCGTGACGGGAGGCTAGCGATGGGGGCCGGGGCCGGGCCGGGCAGGCACTGCCCGCGCAGCGACTCCTGGGAATTTGCTCCACGTCGGAAGCTGGCAGGAGCTGCGCTCGCTGTTCAGTGCTGCTCGGCGAGGGGGCAGCTTCAGCGCCGCCTGGGAGCTGGTTGGACGGGAGACTCCGCAGCCCTGTCTCAGGCTCAGCTGCTTGGACGCTGGAGGTGGGTCGAGGAAACCTCATCTTCCCAAGCCCTCGGGGCCTCTGGTGCAGGTCAGGGTCTGAGACGCACTGCGCCGGGTGG